TTTTAAAAATAGACCACCATCAAATCAATCGACGTTACACGCAAAATATACCACGAATTAGGTTCGGAATGATGACTTTAATCACATTGAAAAAGACAGTCATGTTTCTCAACACCGAGTAAAACGAAATTTTATATGTTTAACCTAGACAAATTTAAACCTCAGTTTTATATCATTTTTTATTTCTTTGTATTTAGTTCTTATTTTAGGTCTTATTTTACCGAGCTCGTGTTCTAGATAGAAAAATCTAGACCGCCATCGGGAAGTACAGACTTAGCGCAGCAAGGTTTGTACGACTGATCAAGGTCTAGATTTTTCGATTTCGAACAAGTAATATCGGTTAATACGAGTTTTATTAAATGATCATTTTTGGTTAAAAAGTAATCCAAGGACAGAACCGAACATAAGATTTTCAAGCAGTTAAAAATATTCTACGTTTCCTGCGGACTAGCCATCTGAAATTTCGTGTGAATAATAAATTTCGTCTTTTTCCGTGATTTTGGTATCTAGAAATTGCGTCAAGCTGAATTTTAGTGGTTTTGTTTGTGTGTTAAACTAAATAACAACTGCAAAAATTCAAAACATGGCGAGTAAAGCAGCACGAGGGTCTATCTAAGTGAATCAAAACACCGGAGAAAAATCGACATCAACCAATCAGATCACACCATTTACTCGCGTACAAGGTCCAATTTACATTATGTAATTATTATTATTAATWTTTTTATTATTTTTATTACTTTTGTGTCTAGGACGGACTATTCAAACTCCAAAAGCAATCCGTGATATTTACCATGATTTGAAGCAGTAATTGTCATTATTTTGATAGGGAACAATCTCAAACCGAGTTATTTTTCTTTCAGTTTTCTCAATTAACAGCATAGTAGAGAAGCAAGACTGCTTTTGTCACTACAGGGTGAGCGCATACGTCAGTGAGTAAAATGAGTTAATCGGCTTGCTAGTAAGTTAACACATTATAGTCTATAACACTCTATAAGGCCATATATTGTACAGGCCAAAATCCTTCTTTATTGACGGGAAATCCATGATGCTTACTTTGGATCAAATTAGAATCCGAAAATCCGCTTAGACCCTCATAAATGGAGAAGAATGCCGTTTCTTCCGACATCGACCCACTGACTTATTATTTTGTCTATTCAGCTAAATCGARGGTAAGTGATTGTCGGCATGAAATTGAAAGCATTCAAATCGATAATATACTTAAGTTGACTATCAGAGTTGACAATGCTTTTACACTTACCGTTTTTGCTTTTCTTTGTGATTTAAAACGTGCAAAAGTTGATCCTTGCGATATAAGTATGGTGCTATATTTAATAGTTGTAAAAGCAGAGCTTATAACCTCTAGGACGGTGTCCTGCTGTAACTGTTTGTTTGGATATTTGTGTGATGTATAACTGCCGGGKTTTTTAGCATATTTTGAGCTTTTGACCTCTCTTTATTAATCCAGTTTACAGGCATGGGCGTATCATACCTGAGTCAAGTTAATGATACTTATGGAATTTTGAATAAGACAGCTAGCTAACATGATAGCTGATGAAGAATTGCACTAAATATCTAATGAGTAAGTTCCGAATCAATCCCCCCTATAATGGATTAGTCATTTAAAAGAATAAGAATGTTATTTACAGTATATACTTTAAAGGCTGCAAAACATTTTTGGACATTCTCACCGGGATACTAGAGAAGACATCTGACAAAACAATTTAAAACTCATGTTATTCTACTTACTTCAAAATGGTTCACTTGTTCAAAACTGGTTATCAGCCACAATTCAAGATCAACTTCTATTACTTGATCGGTTTTCCGCGGACAGACATGAATAGACGTGCAAGTCCAGCGTTCGGGGTTGCACTTGATCCAAATTCGAACGGGGACGTTCGACGGTACCTCTAAACGCTATTCAAGACATCAAAACGACCGCGAAATTTCATACCCCATTCAAGACAAATATTCAAGACTCGAGAGTGGACATAAAGCATGCTTTCCGGTAAAAATGTCGTTCGAGAAATACTTATGATAGTTTCTGAAGATTGAGATGCATGGCGCCAAACGCGGTCAATAAGAGGACATACCACGAGAATCTTGTAAATTTGTCTTTTACCWYATAAAAACATTCTACAATTATATAACAATCCCAGACAAAAAGAACAATTTTGTAACCGAGGTGTGMACTTTTATTTGCCACGGCTCCCAACCTAAAATAATCGAGAAAATTTACAATTGTTTTTTCATTTTACTTTATAGTCTACTAGATAAGTATTGAAACCCTGTATAAGACATGTTAAACATAGAAAGTACACTCCTATTCTAGACAACTGAAAGTAAACGCGAAGGCTAAAAACCTTGGYGTCCAGCGTTTTTTCTAAGATAATCGAAGTAGGAGCTAACCAGGTTTTCTCAACGTTTATCTCACACGTTAAGACAATACCAACTAGCACAAAACMAAGGAAATGAACCAAGTACTAAGGTRACCACAGTACCAAGGKAATGTACCAGGTACCACCACAATAGCAAGGTAATGAACTGAGTACCAAGATATCACCACAGTACCAAGGTAACATACGAGATACTAAGGTACCATCACCGTACCAAGGTAATGTACCAGATACCAATGAAGGTACCAGTACACTTACAAAGGTAATGTACCAGGTACCACCGCATTACCAAGGTAATATACCAGGTACCAAAGTACCATCACAGTACCAAGATGATGTATCAAATACCAGGGTACCAACACCATACCAAGTGTTGTGTATTTAGGAGCTTTATTTACTCGTGAAATGACCATAAACAGATAAGAATAGTTTTACAATACTTTTCGTGGACATCTTGTATTGTATGGCAGCAGCAAATCCATCCTGGTGCGAAGATTTCTACCGAACATCAGTTTGGCCGGAGACTGATGGGTAGTTGAATGCGTAGTATTGCGGTATTGCAGAAGGAAGTTATCTATACGTTGCTGGGAGGTGGTCCTTGTCCAGTTGTATAAGCCATCKTGAAAGTCTAAACAGACCTTTCCGCTTGTTCATTGTTCCGTGAATGATATGGCGCTATAGTGGTGTGTCTTATGCCATTGCGTTGGGTGAAATTCGAGAATTCTGCCGAGTTCAGCTGAGGACCGTTATCACTTACCAAATAAACTGGGAGACSAAATCTTGCGAAAAGGTCACGGAGCACGTTGATGTTCGCAGCTGCGGTAATTGTGCGCATGGATTTTATCTCGATCCATTTCGAGTATGCGTCTGTAATGACTAGAAAGTTCATGTTATCAATTAAACCTGCAAAGTGCACATTGTCCCACGGTTGCTTGAGAGTGTATCCATGGGTGATACTGAACCGGGTGCGCATTRCGTGTGGTGTTACAGGTCTCGCAGCTCTTGGCGAGACTCTCAATGTCCACCGTATGTGGCTCCGTGCTATTTCTTTCATTCGTACTATTCCTAAATGGCCTTCATGAAGCTCCTTGAGGACTTGCTGTCTAAGGGCTGCGGGGACTACGACACGTTGTCCGCGCATTATGCAACCATCTGTTAATGAGAGTTCAGGCACGCAAATCAAATACAGCTTGATGCTGTCATCCACACGTGGGAACCCGTGTGAGATGTAGCTATAGCTGCTATGGAGGAATGGATCTGAGAGTGTATGCTGCCGAATGTCCTCCGCTGTGACAGGTAGTGGCTCTGTTCCATTTGATACACGTCTGCGAAATCAACAGTTTGCCCTGATGACTTGTTGGGTTGAGGAAGTTGCAATGGWATGTTTTTTCGAAGCTCGGTATAGTATGTCATAGGAGTAACTTCGTGGCCAATCGTTGCATTCTCATGGCGGCAATCGATGGAATTCCTTTTTGTGGAACCGAGTATAGCAAGGAGTGGCTGGTGATCTGTACGCAGTGTAAAACGTCTCCCATAACGGTAAACATGGAAACGCGTTATTCCGAATACTATCGATGACGCTTCTTTATCAATCTGAGCATAGTTGCATTCGCTTTAACCAGATGCCATTGAGGCGAAAGCAATGGGTCGCTCTGATCCATTGTCTAGACGCTGAGATAACACCGCGCCGAGGCCATATGAAGACTCATCACAGTCGAGTATTACAGGTATATTGGGGTTGTACGGCACAAGCACATTCTGCACCTTTATCATAGACCTAACCTTGTCGAAGGGCCTCTTGACATTCTCCTTTCCAAGACCATTGATTTTCCTTTTGGAGTAGTTAGTGTAGAGGATGCAACACTTGTGATACGTTTGGCAGAAACYTCTGATAATAGTTTCTGATGGTTTTTCACAAGCTTTTGAATTATTTTCTTGATCACATGTATTTTCAGTAAACGTTCTACTTGAGTGAATTAAGTAATGAGTTCATTATAGGTCTGGGAAGTATAATCGTGGCGATTAAGCTCGATAAGCAATTAATTAATGGCAACATGTAAGGTTGGGAATGAGGGTTAACTGAGGTTGTGTGATAAGGTTTGGGTAGTTAAAGATTTAGGAGA